GCCACAAGTCATTGGCCGGAAGCAGCGGGTGGGAGATGCGGCCTCAGCTCAAATGCAAGCTGGATTCCCAAGCCAGCAGCTGGGGTACTAATGGGTCAGCTATGCTCCCTGTACTTGAAGGTCAGTTAGACCCATTTCCATGGGTGCCATACACGCTAGAAAGCTTCCTGGAATGGGGTTGCTTTCTGTTCTATTTCCTGTTTATTCTCCTTGGGACACTAAACTCCCTCCCATAAAGCCTCACCATCTTTGCTGTCACCCACCCAATCTCAGAAGAAGAGTGTGTGTGTTAAATGGGTAGATACAATCTTTTAAAACCCTTTCTTCTCCTTCCATTTGGACAAAATGCCTCCCTTTAACGCATTTATAAATGTGTTAAATGTGTTAAATTTATAAATGTGTCTCTGTATAAAAAAAATTTAAATGCTCAAATCCTTGACTCCTTGGACTGTTTTCTCTTTTGGATTTTGGTTATAGAACGTTTATAGGGATTATTCTGTTTATCAAAATTGGACTTAAAAGTCCTGTTTTAAAGTCTATTTTGAACAGTTTTGTATAGCTATAGAAACCTGAATTGTTTTTATTCACTAAAACATTAAGTTTCTGTGTGTCAAGCATGGTATTACAATACTAAAATGAATGACTGCGCAGGAGAGAGCAATAGGGGATAATTAGGACAACTGTAATAGAACAATAATTTTAAAAATCTGGGAAAAAATGAACGAGTGATGTGTGAGTTTATTTTTTTCTTTTTTTCCTTTTTTATTTTTAAAAATATTTTATTTATTTATTTTCAGAGAGAGGGGAAAGGAGGGAGAAAGGGAGAGAAACATCAATGTGTGGTTGCCTCTAGCGTGCCCCCAACTGGGGGCCCGCCCTGCAACCCAGGCATGTGCCCTGACTGGGAATTAAACCAGCGACCATTTGGTTCATAGGCCAGCACTCAATCCACTGAGCCACACAAGCCAAGGCTATTTATTTTATTTTTCAAAAATATTTTATTTATTATGGCATTACAGTTGTCCTAATTTTTCACCCTTCCCTTTACCCAGAACCCCTATTCCCGCTAGCAATCCCCCCAACCCCTTATTTCATGTCAATGGGTCATGTATGTAAGTTTTTTGGTTACTACATTCCCTATGCTGTTCTTTTTTTAACAAAATTAATTTATTTTTCCACATATATTTGTCTCTGCCTTCCCCCCACCACTTTCCCCTGCCCCCTCCTCCCTCGCCCTCCCTCAATCCTTCCCCACTTTGGTTTTGTCCATGTGACCTTCCTATATGTTCCTTGACTTTTCCCTTCCCTTCCTTTCCCCCTGCCCACCCCACCCTCCTTCCCTCTAGTCTCTGTTGGTTTCTTTTCCTTTCAGTGTTGCTGGTCTTATTTTCCTTGCATCTTTGTTTTGTTGGTTATGTTCTGCTTATAGGTGAGATCATATGGTATTTGTCTTTCGCCTCCTGGCTTAGCATAATGCTCTCTAGTTCCATCCATGCTGTCGCGAAGTTTAGTAGTTCTTTTTTTCTTTCTGCTGAGTAGTATTCCATTGTGTAAATGTACCATAACTTTTGATCCAATCATCTACTGATGGGCATTTAGGTTGCTTCCAACACTTGGCTGTTGTAAATTGTGCTGCTGTGAACATTGCAGTGCATAGGTTCTTTTGAATTGGCGTTTTGGGACTCTTAGGGTATAGTCCAAGCAGGGAAATCACTGGATCAAAAGGCAGTCCCATTTTCAGCTTTTTGAGGAAATTCCACACCGCTTTCCACAATGGCTGCACCAGCCTGCATTCCCACCAACAGTGGACTAGCGTTCCCTTTTCTCCACAGCCTCGCGAGCACCTGTTGTTTGTTGACCTGTTTTTGATGGCCATTCTGACCGTTGTGAGGTGGTATCTCATTGCAGTTTTGATCTGCATTTCTCTAATGGCTAGTGATGCCAAGGATCCTTTCAAATGTCTCTGGGCCCTCTGTATCTCTTCCTTGGAAAAGCGTCTGACCAGGCCCTTTGCCCATTTTTTGATTGGATCATTTGTTTTCTTGGAGTAGAGTCGTGCGAGTTCTTTATATATTTTGTAGATCAAACCTCTATCTGATGTATCATTAGCGAATGTATTTTCCCATACGGTTGGCTCCTTTTTCATTTTGCTGATGTTTTCTTTAGCCATGCAGAAGCTTCTTATTTTGATGAGGTCTTACTTGTTTATTCTTTCCTTTATGTCTCTTGCTTTAGGAGACATATCGGTGAAAAAATTGCTGCGTGGGATATCTGAGAGTTTCCTGCCAATGTTCTCCTCTAGGACTTTTATGGTGTTGTGACTTATATTTAAGTCTTTTATCCATCTTGAGTTTATTTTTGTGTATGGTATACCCTATGCTGTTCTTAACTTTGCTCTGTCTATTTTGTACCTGCCAATTTGTATTTCTTAATCCCTGCACCTTCCCCTCCCATTCTCCCCCTTCCCTCCCTCAACTGATAACCCTTAAAATGATCTCCGTATCTATGATTCTGTTCCTGTTCTAGTTGTTTGCTTAGTTTGTTTTTTAGATTCAATTGTTGATAGTTGTGAATTTATTGCCATTTTAATGTTCATAGTTTTGATCTTCTTTTTCTTATATAATTTCCTTTAACATTCATGTAATTATAGCTTGGTGATGATAAACTCCTTTAGTTTTACCTTGTCTGGGAAGTGCTTTATCTGTCCTTCAATTCTAAGTGATAGATTTGTTGGATAGAGTAATCTAGGTTGTAGGTCTTTACTTTTCATCACTTTGAATATTTCTTGCCAGTCCCTTATAGCCTGCAAAGCTTCTTTTGAGAAATCAGCTGATAGCCTTATGGGAATTCCTTTGTAGGTAACTGTCTGCTTTTCTCCTGCTGTTTTTAAGATTCTCTCTTTATCTTTAAACTTTGACATTTTAATCGTGATGTGTCTTGGTCTGGTCCTCTTTGGGTCCACCTTGTTTGGGACGCTCTGTGCTTCTTGGACTTGTATGTCTATTTCCTTCACCAAATTGGGGAAGTTTTCTTTCATTATTTTTTCAAATGAGTTTTCAGTTTCTTGCTCTTCCTCTTCTCCTTCTGGCACCCCTATGATTTGGATGTTGGTATGTTTGAAGATGTCTCAGATGCTCCTTAGCCTATCCTCATTTTTAAAAATTCTTTTTTCTTCTTGTGGTTCTGATTGAATAATTTTTTTCTTCTTTGTGTTCCAAATCATTGATTTGATACTTGTCTTCATCCCCTCCATTGTTGATTCTCTATAGATTTTTCTTTATTTCACTTAATGTATCCTTAATTTCCGCCTGGGTCTTTTTTATGCTGTTTTTCTGCCTGGGTCTTTTTTATGCTGTTGAAGTGCCCAATGAGTTCCTTGAGCATCCTGATAACCAGTGTATTGAACTCAGTGTGTGATAGGTTGCTTATTTCCATTTCATTTAGTTCTTTTCCTGGAGTTTTGTTCTGTTCTTTCATTTGGGTCATATTTGTCTCCTCAATTTGGCAGCCTTCCTGTTTTGTTTTGTTTGTGTGTGTGTGTGTGTGTGTGTGTGCATTAGGTGGAGCTACTTTGATTCTCTTAGTAGCATGACCTATTGTACAAAAGTGCACCTGTAAGTTGCAATGGGTAGAGCTTTAGATAGTTGTCAGGGCAGGGCAACCTGTGTCACTACTCTGTGGTTCTGTGTCAGGGAGGGCTTGGAGAGGAGACAATACCGCTGCATGGCCTCTGGAGTTCTACCTGGGAGAAAACTGTCTCCTGGCCTTCACGCTGATTCCATTCACTTCAATTTCTCCCTGTATGCCACTGGTGCCCTTCTAGCTGCTGCCCTGGTGCTGAGTCCCAGAGGGAGTTAACGTCCTAAGTCCATTGCAGGCCCTTAAAGAGGAGTCTGAAGAACCCTGCAGTTTATTCCACTAACCCAACACCCACTGAGTTTTATAGCCAGAAGTTATGGGGACTTATCTTCCTGACGCTGGAACCCTGGGCTGGGTTGTCTGGTCTGGGGCTGGGATCCCTCGCTCCTGAGGTATCCCTCCCAATTTTTACCCACTATACATGGACGTGGGACCTCTTGTCCCATGTTTTTGCACTGCTCCACACTATTCCACTACACCTCTCCACCTCTGTCTCCTAACCATCTGGACGAATGTGGCTTCTTTAAATCCTTGGTTGTTGGACTTCCATACAGTTCGAATTTCTGACAATTCTTGGAGGTATTTGTTTTGTAGTCTAGCTGTAATTTTTTCTGTAGTTGTTTGAGGGAGCAAGGTGTGTTTACCTATGCCTCCATCTTGACCAGTATTCACGGTGAGTTGAAGCAAGTTGAGTGACATGAAGATGTCAGTGTCATCAAGTCTGTTACTCACAAATCTGGAATCAAGAGGCACTACACACCACAGAGATTTTATTGGGGCTTCCATGGGAAAGTCGAGGCAGGGCAGGGCAGGGCAGGGCAGGCTCAGTATTAGCTAGTGTGAATAATTTTGGTGGGCCTCGGGGCATAGGGGCTATTCTTAAGTTGTCTGGTACCTGGCCCCAGGAATACTTAGGGCAGGGGAAAACAAGATGCAGAATGCAGATATAGCCCATTTCCCCCTCATTCCATATAAAAGTACAGGTGATTTTTTTAAAGAGAAAATTTAAAAGAGGCTCCTATTCATTACCCACTGAGCATGGTTTTCCAATATAAGCTATCCTTTTAGTTACTTTATGAACACACCAGTAAATACAAACCTATTATTATAATAAAGATTTTATTTGTAGGGAGAGGGGGAGGGAGAAAGGGAGAGAAAGCAACACCCCAACTGGGGTTCCAGCCTCTGACGCAGGCATGTGCCCTGCCCTGACCAGAAACAGAACCGGGGACCTTTCAGTTTACAGGCCAGCGTTCAATCCACTGAGCCACACCAGCCAGGGTTCACATATATTATGTGTTTTCCCCCATTCCTTTTCCCATAACCACTTGGATATATTTAAAATAAAACAGAACAACAAATTTTTGGTAAACAAAATTTAATACAACCATTAAGTAATAATGGTTAAAAGACATATTATTAGATACAACTTTTAAAAAATGCTATGCACAAAGTATATTTAAACAAAACATGTAAGTATTAATGTGCTACAACTGAATTGAGAACAAAAAAATACAAAGCCTTTTTACCCCTTTCCCACTGTGAAGACTCTAACTGAAGGCAAATGACATTTGGCAGCCACAGGTCTGTATGTTCCAAAGCATGTTACACTTTTGTTCAGTTCTGTAATTGTGTTGTCTCAGCTCCAGAAACTTTCAACAAAAATTTAAATAAAGAAACCATGGGATGGGTGACGGGAAAAGGAAGAGTTTAAGAATTTTTCCAAGAAAGTTAATTGAAAAAGGGTGTAAGAAAAAAAATACTACATAATGGAACAAAAACAGATTTACTATTTTTGACATTAGATGTACATAATTGCAAGTGATGTTTACAAGGGCTTATTAATGTAAGATGGGTACTTTTCTGAATATCTTAAAAAGTACCAAAAACAAACAAACAAAAAAACCCCAACAAAAATCCCCACAAAAAATAATAATAAAACTCCAAACACCCAACAACCTTTCTTAACATTCTCATTCGGTCAAGCAACCACACAGTTGGTGCTAATTAAAAAACTTAAGGAGGACTGAAATGAAAACAAAATTGAAGTTTATTTACTCGAAAGGAAACAAATTATGAAACTTTTCTAAGGTAAGCTTTATTTAGATTGAAAAAAGTTGAAATAGCACTAGAAAACTTAAGGCATGAATTCAGATGCAGTTCTTTTTAAAACAATTAAAATCCTTTTCTTTGGGACAATATATAAAATAAGTTATGACTACTGCTATTTAACGAAATTATGATGATCTTTAGCACTAAGTAAATTTAATAGGCAATCACACAAATGTAAAACATTCACATAAAACATTTAAAAATATTTGAAGTATGTTAAAAAGATCTCTGGAATTATCAATTCACACTCCTGGCTCAAGTGGTTTCTGGTGTCTAGCATTAGATATGACAATACGCATAGCTAGCTAGTCAAATCTACTGCCTTAAAGGTCAACCAAATTGCCTCATTCTGGTTACATGTTATAGTGAATATATTTATTTAACTAAAAAAACAATGGAGTGAGGTGATGTAAACTTGCCTTTCAATATAATACACAACAAATTCTAATAAGGCCCAAATTATGTTGAGGTTAACTGGTGTCTTGAGTTTACTAAAATAAAGGCAGTCCATAGGAAGCCTTTAATAGATACCATCTTATCATCTGGCACCACATATATAGCAATCATTCTTCTTAGAAAATACAGTCTGGAATAGATGTCTTTTCCATATTTAAATCTCAAGACACAACAGGCACACAAACAATTCAATCCCTCCCTTTTCATGTATGGGTTCTCACAGCAATTAAAAAAATCTATTGCCATATCCAGACAATAAGAAGAAAACAAAATACACCTGGTTTACATATTGACAAAAGTAGTATAATGGAACCTTTGTCTTTCCTGAGTTTCAAAAAGGGTATTTGACAGTTGAGATATATCAACAATTCATATTCACTAAGAGAAAATGTATCAGTCCACAAAACATTTTCATCTTTCTAAATATAAAAGAATGAATGTTCAACCACTGCCATGTGTGAAGTCTCTTTACCAAATTAGATTTACTCTAAAATGAACTGAAGATTACTAAATTATGACACTTTAACCCCCCCATAAGCAAAAATGATAACTTAATACCCTCCCTGAGTATTTACATCATTTTTCTTAACATCTTCTTTAAATGGAGTAAATACCTACATTTCAGTCTTCTGGGGAAAAAAAAAAAGTTACTTAAAATCCAATAGGCTACCATTTCATACCTCTGTAGTAAAGTCAGGGGAACATTAGAGTAGAAAAAGAAGGTCTTCTGTGGTGAAAATTACAGCACTCAATAGCTCACTTTCATACAGGAACACATGGAGAAAGACTGAAGTTTATGAAAAAAAGAAATTGTACTTTTTTGTTGATCCACAAAACACACCCTTCAATTCCCTTTCCCACTGCGTAGGTTTAGCAAATGCATCTCCACCTCCAATTTGTTTTCTGACCTTGTAAAACTGTATGTATTACATAGATTCTGATTATATAGGATAATACTCATCATGTACATTCAAATGTAAGAATGTATTCTAGAAATGCCCAAATAAAAAATCTTTTGAAATTGTACTTAATAAGGAGGATTAATTTTTAACTTATGTGCTTTTTTCTGATCATTATAAACTGATACAATTCTTGGAGTCTGTATATGTGTGTGTACATGAGCATACTATCTATCTATATACATACACATTAACCCAAAGGCTTATATGAATGTGACCTATCAAAAGAAAAATTGACTATATGATGACAGTATGAATATAATCTGACACAAATTTGGTTGATATATCCCTTTTGACATACTAATTATATCCTACATTTTTTTTTTAATTTTATCAATGCCAATATCATTATTTACCAAAAATGAGTAAAGGAAGATAAATAATTAAAGGAAATTAAAATATCATTTGGGTAACTTAAAAAATAGTTTTAAAATTTCCTAGTATTCAAGCTAAGTTCTTGGTGGCCAACTTAATTTATGTAGTTTTAAATTACGTAAAGAAAAAAATTAAACAATAGTGGTATGAGTTCTATGTTTAAACAAATTCTGTTCTATTGAATTTAATTTCAAATTACTACAATGAACACATGGATATTACAAATAAATGAATAACAAACTACAATAGTTAATATATATTTACAATAGACAAAACTACTGGAATACAGGTTACCTTGAGAAAATGTTTTATGTGAAATGTTTGTATTTCACATAAAAAATGGGCATGATTTTACAAATAAACATAAAAGTAACAAGTATCATTTGTATAATCCTCAGCATTCATACTTTTCTCATATATTACCTCATTTACCGAAAAGAATTTCTAAACTAAACAGGTCCTACTCTAAAGGTATAATGCAAAAGTAGATGTATACTCAAACAGTAATACAAGTATCCTAATTGTACACACAATTGCCTTTCAACTAAAGTGATAGAAAATTGTTTTAGGAATTGCTCTGAAAATTATTACAGAAAGGTATATATATCATTAAAAATTATTATTTGAAAAGTAAAAATTCCCTAAAAATTTGTAAATTGTTTTAGAGTTTTCCTCAGAATTCAGATTCCAGCTAAGCATTCAAGTTGATGCCATACAGTTTATTTGAAATCTGTTACCATTCTAGCATTAAAAAAAGTTCATCAATGTTAAGTTTCTGATTACTATCTTGATTTCAACAGAACTGTGATGACAATATAATCACATATTTGCATCATCTCTCCTATGACAAGAAGTATATTAATTATAATGTGAGATGTCAGTAGTGCCTGGGAAGTTGAAACATATGGCAGGCTACCTGGAATAGCCCTAAAATGTTGTAATTTACATCAGTCTACCCGGGAATAAACCAGTCACTTACGCTGTAGTTTCTGCTACTCCATTTACCATAGAAAAAAACATTTTAAATTCATCTCTAAGAACTAGCAAGCTTTATAAACTGGAGTTGAAAAATCTAGACAAAGGCAATTTGTTGTATAGAAGCTTGAAAGTGTTGGCCAAATGAAAGATTTCTCTTAGAAGACTGCAACTACTGCTGTTAGTTCATTCAGACAGTTACTTTTAAAAGAAAAATAGACCCATTGAACTAGGTGGTCCCTGGTTTATCCTTTAAAGGCAACTTAACAGTAGAAACTCCCAGGATTTTTAGCTGTTCACATGAAAGTAGGATAACCAGGGAAGAGGTCCTCACCCAAAGCACCATATTAATGAGGTCGAACCCTCCTGGGATAGGGAGAAAATCTGTCCCTGTTTTTCAAAAGATAACATTGCAAAATGGATTTCAACTCCTTTGCCCAGGTTCATGAAAAGGAACTTCCTTAGAGGATTTAGAGATGATACGCAAATACTTTGAGATCCACAGTGAGTCATTTTCCCTTCAATGGAACTTAAGTAATTTTTTCTTAGGAATTAACCTGTTCTTTTTAACGGCATCTGCTTTTCTACCTCCTTCCCAACCTCTTCTCAAAATCGTTTAATATAGTACAGCAATTCTAAGAATGAATAATTCAGTATTTTACTCAGATCGCTGTCATCACATTTTTATCAATTACAGGAAAAAAATCCCTTTCAATAAAGTCAATCAGTTTGGATATATTTTTAATGACAAAAGATTTTTAAAACTGATTTTTCCTCCTTAGAATGCGTTCTAAGCACTATGTGATTCAACCTAAATGAAGCATTAAGTTGTGCACTTTTCTATAGGTATATATGACAAAGTAAAGAGTATACAGTCTTGCAGATAAACATACATAAATGAAGAGACCATTCACAAATTCCTAAAAGGTATACATACAGACATTCTTTCCTATTCCACATAGGTTTCTCACAAATATTTACAAAGATACATTCAAAGCCCAAGCAACACCACTATTACCTTCAACAAAAACCAAAACCTTTTTTTTTTTTCCCAATAACAGGAAAGGATTTATTACAGTTTGAAAGACTGGTATTTTGGGGAGAAAGGCACCACATGTATTATTTTAACTTTTTGTGCATATGACACAAAGGAGATATGCCAAGTTCCTACTCTGGAGCGTTTAAAACCTCTCATCTTGGATGGGTGTGGCTTCTTGGGTGAAGTATCCTGGCTTTAGAGTTTAAAGCATTTCTCGTTGTATCTGTGAATAGTCACACAGCCATGATAGGACACTGGCCTGGGCATTGCAGCTACCCCTGTGATGATGCTTGTTGCAGGATCGTAACAGAGAATAGTGTCCGTGGCTTCTCCATTTTCCCGTCTTCCACCCAGGATATATATTTTACCATTGCACACAGACATACCACAGTTTTCCTGTTTTACCAAAAACATAAAAAAAAATTAATCATTGAAGGTAAGAGATTTGGGAGCAAGCTGAAAAGTAAAATAAGACATGCTTTAACATCATTAGTAAAAGGAGATATCAAATAAGTTCCCCTTTGCCTAACTCCTGCTCTATGTGTGAGTGCTAATTTTGCATGGGTGAAATGGGTATTAACATAGAATATATATTAGTAATTGGGGCCAAGTTGTGGGGGTCGTAAAGCGAGGGTGGCAGACTGAGAGAAGGGTTTTAACTTAATAATAATGGAAAGAAAACATCTTTGAAGAGCCTGGCTTTCTTCCCCTGTTATAGGAAGGTCCTTTACTATAGAAACTGACTGTAATATGACCAAGGATTAGGAACATTACTCATTATATGGAATTACCTACAAGACAAATAATGACAAAAAGAATTATAATTAAATTAACAAAGCACTGTTATTAGAGGCCTTGGCTGGGACATAGAAATTCCTCAAATAATATTTTATAGTTAACTTTTATATAATGGGATTTTTAGCTAAACTGTACTCTTCTCTGTCAATAATAACATTATAATAAACAAATATTCTTGCAAGGATACGACGGATTCTTCAAAGAAAAACACTACACTAAAGTTACCTCACTATTGCATGGAACCGGTTATGCTCCAGGTCAAGTATTCTTCTATTTATGTTTTACTTTAATTGAGAAAGTTGTTGCATGTTAATATCCTGTTTTCATAAAACCAACTGTGAGCTGGATTCTACCACTGAGAGCAATAAACAATTTTTATTTGACCAGATCTGTTGTACATATATAAATTTTACTGTTGTAGAAAAATATGAAATCTTGGTGGACTTACATAATAAAAACTAGTATCTTCAGGTCTAACGGAGTTAGCGACTACTTAAAAATGCCTATGTTAGAGTTCATACATACTTAAGATGACTTGCTGATTATCATTAGTGAATGACAAACTTTTATCCAGAATACCTAAGCCATGAATTGTACTAATTATGTGCTAAACTATAACAATAAAGACATTTTTTCATCTAAAATATGAATGAGCTCTTTCTACAAAGTCTAAAAGTTCTCAGTGCAATAAAAAACATCCTTAGTTTTCAAGTACAAGGTACCCCACATTATTAAACTTATAGTCACTTTGATGATGATTTTATACTACATAGTTATAGGATCTTATTATTAACATCATTTCAAATAATAATGCTCAGAAATAAATGAAGCAAGCAATCTTGAAAGAGTTATTCTTTCACATCAAAAAATTACTTATATCAGATATAGTTTATTTTACTCTAAGAATTACACAAGCAACTGCAGCTAGTATGCAAAATAATTTATCAATACATAAAGTTATTTTTTAAGACTAAAATGAAACACAATCCTAATATTGTTGGGAAAAACTCACAACCTTCTCCTTAATTATTATTTTTATAATGCTTAAATTTAAATGCCAACACTAAAGAAAAAAATCAGATTTCTTTTTATTTATTATTCTAAACTTTACTGACACTTTAAATACCCCATCTACTGAAGATACAAAAAAAAAAAAAAAAAAGCTCATTTTTTCTGGCTCTTTTGTTGTTATTCAGGATTTAAGCATTTAAGATAATGTAGCCTTGGGCTCAAATAACTGTCTACCACGTAACTGGCTGACTTATCCTTTTTTATTGATGAGCTTTGAAAGGGTAGACACAGAGAGGGTTAAAAATTTGCTTATCAATAATGTATAAATAGATACACTTAGAAATACTAGTAGTAAGAATGGACCAAGGAGAAAAGATAATCCCAGAAATCTCAGTATTTTTTGCTTCAATAAACTTGATATAGAATCCTAGAGTTGAAATCAAGTGATTTGTCTTTGTTATAATAGATTTTTAATAAACTTCTGATCCACTTTTCCCCTGAAATTTCAGAAGTCAATGTTATTCATTGTTAATTAGAGAAAATGTGTCCCATGTAGCCTGTTATTTTATCTCAGTCATTAAGAACATAGTCATTGTATGCCTGCACTATGCTAGATGCTGGCAATTATCTTCCTAAGGTCTGTTATTGTTTTATACAGTAGAGTCAAGTCCGAAACGCACAGTAATTCTTAGTGAAAATTTATTATATTTTAAAATATTCACTGTAGTCCTGGTTGGTGTGGCTCAGTGGATTAAGTGCTGGCCTGTGAACTGAAAGGCCACAGGTCTGAGTCCCAGTCAGGGCACACGCCTAGATTGTGGGCCAAGTCTCCAGCTGCGGGGGTGCAAGAGGCAACCAATCCATGTTTCTCTCACGCATTGATGTCTCTTTCTCTCTTTTCCTCCCTCCCTTCCCCTCTGTCTAAAAAAGAAATAAAATCTTTTTTAAAAATTAAAATATTCACTATAATAAACCAATAAAAATAGCTTTGATTAAAAAAGTTAGAAGTAAGTGTAAACCCTTGTTACATGAGTGAATGGGACCATAATTCGAGTTCTTATGTCATGGGCCATAATCTTAGCTCTACGGAGTTGGACTGTCCTTTCCAAGAGAAGCCTCTGAACTAAGAAATGTGATTCATTTTACTTAAATGTGATATAATGGGGATAGAAGATTACATTCTCTCTGTATAACGAAGATGAAGATCTTAGTGTGTCTCTTAGTTTGAGGCAATGTTTCTCTGAATACATTACTAATTGGAGACTATACATCAATGTCAGCAGTTTTAGAAAAATTATGTTATATTAGAACCCTACTGATTGTCCTTACAGTCTATATCTCTTATGTATCTTGAGGTAAGATTATCTTACAATTAGGTCCCTCTGTTGCTTTAGCCTCTCATTTATTTACTTATTCAATAAATATTTATTAAGCACCAATAAATGCAAGATACATATGAGATGAGTTAGAAAAAACAATATTCTCAAGAACATTGAATTTCAGTATAAACATTTACACCCATAAGGGAATATATGACTGCCATGCGAGAGTACAAGAGAAGTAAATGCAGTGACACATCCTCCCCCCGCCAAAAAAAGATCAATTCTAAACAGAACAACCTCACTTTGTTTTAACTATGAAATGGTCTAAAAGATGAGTAGAATTACAAGCAGAGAGGCAAGAGGACAGTATGAACCAAGGCAGGAACACATAAGATCTATATAGTGCAAGTAATAAATACCAATATAATTGGGGTATAGTTGTAGAAAGTGAACCTGAAAAGGTAAGCAGAGGTCAGCCAAGAGAAGGCCTAAAAGTGGAAAAACTTTGGATTTCATTCAGTAAGTTTCCAATCAGAGGAGAGACATAATTACATTTGTTAGAAAATAACTGGTGGGAAAATGGGTTAGAGAAGCAAGACATTAGAGAAAGGAACACTAGATTACTATTGTTTTAGTTTAGGTAAGAACTATTAAGAACTTGAACATCAACGCATGAACAATAGGAATGGAAAATAAGAGAAACTCTGAGGAGATAGAACTGATAGGCTAGACTGATTCAATATAAAAGTGAGGAAAATCTAAGAAAAAAAGTTTCTAGCTGTGAAATAATAGGAAATACATATATTTGTCTCTGTCCCCAGTTTCTGACCCAGAGCTTCTTAACTCCTTGGAATTTTCTGGGTGATAGGAGTGTCTTTTGTTCTAATGAGGTGACTCTTTGTGGGCTCCTGGAAGGGGGTTGGCCACCAGAAAGACAAAGCCATGATTAGAACCTTGCAACTTTCAGCACCCCCTGCCTAAGCCCGTTCTCTGGAGAGGGGAGATGGGATGTAAATTGACTTAATAACCTGGTCATGCCTACATGGTCCTCAAAGTATGGGATTTGCAAAGATTTCAAGTTGTTGAACACATCTGTGCGCTAGGAAGGTGGCGTAGCTCAACTGCCGAAGGATAAAAACTGCTGTGCTTGGGACCCTTCGGGACCTTACTCCATATACCTCTTCATCTGGCTGTTCATCTCGATCCTTAATAATTTATAACATGCCTTATACATAATAAACCAGGAAACATTAAGTGTTGCCCTGAGTTCTGTGAGCTGTTCAAGCAAACTATCAAACCCGAGGAGGGGGTTTTGGGAACCTTGGTTTATAGCTAGTAGCTCAGAAGTACCGGGGACAGCCCGGAACTTGTGATGGGCATTTGAAGCAGGGGCAGTCTAGTAGTAATGAGCCCTTTACTTGTGGAATCTAAGACTAACTTCAGGTAGATAGCGTCAGAAATGAACCTAATTGTAAGAAACCCAGACTGTGAAAAAGTAATTGGCATGGGAAAAATCCACATATCTGGTGTCAGAAGTATTTAGAGTGTAAGGGAGAAACTGTTTTTCCATTCACTAGGTTATTTGGTAACAGAAAAAGTAGGCTCGGGGAAGAATACCCAAATAAGCAGCTGGAAATTTGAGTCTAGAGCACAGGAGAGAGACTTTAATGGAGACAAAGACTTGAAGTCATCAGTATTGTGCAGTAGATGAGATCATTCAGGGTTAGAACATAAACTGTGAGGAGGGCAGGGAAAGGAGGCTCAAGGGAAACCTGTATCCAAGGGGTGGATTGAAAAAATAAGAGAATATGAATGTGACTAGGAGATTATTAGTAATGACTCTTGGGAGTAGAAGATCTCCAGAATGGTAAAGGTAGAGTCATATTTCTAGCATCAGAACCATCACATATTTTGGTGGTACAAGAAAGAAGAGAAGAGCTATGAATCAAAAGGCCTTTTTTGGAAGGCCTTTTATTAGAAGCAGGGGGTGGAGAGGGAGTAGGAAGATACAGGCCAGAGTGTGTGGATGAAGACCTGAGCACAGCCGTTTTCTTTTATAACAAATAAACAACAAATCGGCCTCTAACTACAGAAAGAAAAAAAACAGTTTGGGAGTATTTCTTATTTTTTTAAATATGCAAGAGAGTGTGATAAGGACTAGAGCAAGATTCTGAGAAAGGTCAAGGAGAAAAAAAATCAACAGCTTAAGTGCAATATCTACTTCATCATGGGATGGTAAAAAGCTTTTTTTCAATAGAACGATTCTTTGGAAGGAATTCAAATAGGTATATCATATGATTTACGTAGAGTTTAAAAAAATTATGAAATAGTTCAAGCATACATTAATTATTTTAATGGTGGAATTACAGTATGTTCATGATGGTCATGTACTTGGTCCCTCCATGATTAATTTCCTTTCGGATTGTTTTATGCTATTACCTGCCGGCTGAATGTGTTCTGTACGTGCATCCAGTAATCTTCAACTGGATCATAACAATATATTGCCTTGGTCAGTCCACCAGCAACATATATCAGGTTGTTTAAGGATACAGCTGTTATACACCTCTTAGCAATTGGAATAGCTGCACGAAGTAGCCAAGAGTTGGTTTCTGGATCGTAAGATTGAACCTAATAATATATATAGAAATATTTAATTAAAATTTCTATACAAAAAAGTAAACTTGCTTAGTAAAAGTCTACCAATATATAGAAACATGATTCAAAGTCAAAGCCATTAATTCACAGAATTAAAGGTTAGCTTGATAATGAACTGTCTGAATTATGAAATTCTCAAAAGAAAGGTAAATTTATTATTATCAAGCAGAATAAAGCAACAAACATGGATTGCTTCCAGGATAAATGGCTACCAAATCTGCCTTACTTATTTTCTTTAAAGTTAACAGTTTTGAGTTTTAAAAAATTGTGTTATATAGCGTAGCTATGCTTTAATCTGAATGTGATTTTATACTTTCAGACAGTCCTTTCTTCAAAAGAACACAAGTAAACCTCAGTTCAGTATACTTTGAATTACCACAAATTCTGAAGTAATAAGTTCTGAATATGTAACTTTCAATCACACTGTATAAAATTAATTTAGGAAAAAAATTAATTAATTGACAAAATTCAGTTAACTATTGCTAAACCAATTAGGCATTAGATACTTTCTTCCAGAATAAACATGGTATTTCCTGAGATGTCAGCGTGGCATTAAGTTCTTTTGTCCTAGGAGTTCAATGAAATGCAGTAACTGTAAGCCATTCTCTGTCTACCATACAGAAGTTCCTTTCCTCATCTTTGTCCTAAAAACACACTTTTAAAGTATGTGAAAAATGATCCAGTTGGAAGCAGTGTGATTACTATGTCTTATCCCCTTTGCAAATTCACTTCCCAACTGTGTTTTGTGTGAATAATTTTTCAATTCTGTTGACTACAGCAGTAAAAGATTTAAAAAAATTTACAAGATCTCAACAGTGAGATTAGTTTCATTTCAAAAAGACAGGATCATGCTTTTTACAGCAAATTGCTAGATATATTAGGACCTCACATTACTAACTTTAAATTCAGTATTTTCTTCAAAAGTAGAAAGTAGCGCCCTGGCCAGGTGGCTGAGCTGATTAAGAGCATCACCCCATATACCAAAAGATTGCAGGTTCAATCCCAGTCAGGGCACATATCTAAGATTGTGGGTTTGATCTCCAGTTGGGGCATGTAATAAAGGTAACCAATCGACGTTTCTCTCTTCTCTCTCTCTCCCTGCCTTTTGTGGATCAATAAATATATCCTCGGGTGAGGATTAAAAAGAAGTATGAAGTACCAATTTTTAAAAGGCCTCTCACACTAAGGGACCTCGCACCTCCTTGACAAGCCTTCCATATTTCTCTTCTTGTATATATCATTGGCAATTTCTATAAAGAGAAGATGGCTTACCTTGTCAGAACAAGTATTATCATCAGGTCCTCCACCAATCACAAACAATTTGCCTACACAGCTAGTCACAGCAGGAGAACTCACTGCTTCCTTAAGGGGAGCAACTTCAGTCCATCGATTTGAAAAGGAATCATAACATTCTACACTGCTCAGTCTGTTCTGCCCATCATAGCCTCCAACAACATACACCTATATATAAGATATGTGGAAAGAAATCTTAATTATCAAAAGCTTAAATTTTGAACTAGTTGGTTAAAGAATTAAGTGATCTCTCCCCTTTAAAGAACACTTGATAACTATAATTGCAATATATTTAGTTCAGCTTCTGAAACTTAAAATATTATCACCCTCTTACCATCACCAAGGAGTCTTTTTAGACATTTTTTCATGATAGCCCCCTCTAAAGAAATTTTAATACCACAGATAATTGTGTATTTGTTTATGTACTGTCTTGTATAACTGTGCTTTATATATGAAACTACATTTTTTTTTTTTATCCCCTGAAGACCAAATCTTCACCTCCTTAGGGATGATACTCCTTGAGCTGAGAATTACATGATTTAGCTCGAAAGCTCACACTCCTGAATAATGAAAATATTATATTATAATAAATTAATAAAGCTACAAAACTAAAATATTAGATAAGGATTACTAGACTGAGATCTTTGGAGGTAGTGCCTATGTTGTTCTTCATTTTAGTCTCCACAAGTGCCTAGAAAAGTACCTGACACATAATGAACTCTACACTATATATTTCAAAGGGCTTTCACATACATTTTCTTTTCACAAATATGAGGAAGATATGGCAAATTAATATCTCTATATAAGTGATCTAATCAATGAGCCACTTATTAAATGACTTATATGCAGAATAGTCCGTTAAACATTATGAGTGATACAAGATACTTTTAACTTAAGGAGCTGTCCAGTTTAACATTCACAGTTCTCATTTTTATTTAAAAAAAAAACAAAACTCTTTAGTCATATGCACACAGGGGAGTAAGGGCAGCACCAGGCTGAGAGGGGAAAGGAGCAAGGTGTTCTCTGTCCCAAGGCTGGCTTGGCACAGTTCTGAGAACACACACACAAGTGGGTTGGGCTGGGAAGTAGAGTAAGAGAAAGGACTGAAATCCACTGTTCTTTTAAAGGACAGTCATCATTGACTCTTTCCTCCACATCTAATTAACTATTAAGACCTACTAAGTCTTCTTTCACAATATCTCTTAACATCTGTCCCTTCCTTTTGTTTCCTATTGCCATTATCCTCTGTCAGTGTCCCTGTCATTTCCTCTCTCTCAATTAATCTCCTGGTCTCTAAACCCAGGTTAATCTTACTAAACCACCTCATCAACTCCTTTTAGTAGTTCAACAATAAATTCCAAAGGGACAAGGTCAAATGTTATTATCCAAAGTCTGTCCATAATTTATCTTTCTATTTTTCACCAAATTTCCATAGCAGCCAATGCCATTCCTATCTTGCTTTTCTCACTATATGTTAAAATGGTACGCTGGTGGGTTTGTTCTCCTAACACCAGGAGACACTCAGAGAGGCTAAGTGACTTACTCAAGGCTATGCAGTTAGAAGAGATACAGAAACTGTAGTACAAAGGAGCAATTAGGACATAGGCTTTGAAGTCCTGAGAGGCAGCAGGCAATGTAAGACCTTGGGCAATTTGTCTATCCTCTGTGAGACTCAGTCTTAATTTCCCCCTCAGGGCATAAATTAAAAACATGTGCTTTGAGCATCAAGATAAAAGGCCTCTATCTATTTTAATAAAATCTGAGCTTTTGTTCCTGCTTTATCATTTTCTGTATAACCTTGGGCAGTGACTTGATCTCTTTGGATTCAGTTTCATTATGAATTGAAAAAGTTACCGTAAGTATTCTCTAAGGTTCCTTCCTGTGTTGAGATCCCGTATTCCAAACCATCCTAGGGTTCTTTTACAGAGAGCATTTTTATAAATTTAAATAATTTTATAGGTCTGAATTCAGCCTATATTGTAATTTTTTAGGATAATGGTTTCCATGGATCAAGTACTTCCTAAGTAAGGTAGGAAGGATTCCTTTTTATGTCTTGATTTAGTGATTCCATGTATTGGATACTTTCAAGTCAAGTATACTAGTATTTGTCAAATAAATTTGTGCTCACCAATCCATATATGGTATTTGAGACATAATCATTTTCATTACCTTTGCATGTCCAGACTAAAAAATTATATTTTTAGTCAGACCTCATCTCTTTCCAATTCCTTATTTTAGCAGTCCCTTTTTAGTAATATTTTGTCATTCTTGAGGCACAGCTACCAAAACTATACATAATATAGTAGGTACTGCCATATCAGTGGTTTTAGAAAATATTCTATTAATATTTTATTTCCGTTACATCTATCTCAAGGTCCTCATTAATTCATTGACCTTGTCAACAGCAGCAGCGTGCTAGATCAATATCCTTAGGAATTTAAAAAAAGTCCTTAGGAATTAACAGTAGCTTTCCAACTGTGCTTTGAGAAGACCTACTATTTTACAGCAGAGACATTTCAATTTCAAGAAGCCTCTGTGGGGCTGGGAGAGGGGAAGAGGACTGATGGGAGGCTGAGTGGGAAGGGTCCCGGCACCATTACTGTTTCAAATTAGAGCAGTTCTGTTTTCTCATTGGTAGCTCTAAAATATCTGCACAGGAGGGCTTAAGAGGTAGCAATCTTTTTAGAAAGGGGTACTAAGGAACTAGTCAAAAATACATGTGCAAGCAAGTGTGCTGCTTCTACTTAGGGTTGTTCATTTATTTGAGGTGGCTTTAGAGGAGCTGACAGAGATGGAGGCAGGGAAAAGCTAAAGAGCCCAAGTTAGCTCTTGGTATAACTGCTGTGTGTTGTTTTTTTAAATCTGTTTTATGGAATGGATTTTTATATTAGATTTAACTTTAAAAAGAAAGGTGTAGTCGTTTTTCAAAAGTTTGGAAACCACTAGTCCACAAGTGATTCTCAAGTTCCTAAAATGGCAAATCATTCAGACCCAAATTACATATTTTTTTTAATACTTACTAGCTGCAGTCAATAACAAGTCTTCTTCAAAATACGTTGGTGAATTTATTGTAACACTTATTTTAAATTTGTTTTGTCCCTACTGTACAATAAAAAAGATAAAATAACATCACTCCAGATAAATATATTTCTGCCTGACTGCCAAAGTCAGTAAAAGGAAAAAGACTGCTTGAATTAGACATTGGCCTGTTTTTGTACTTCATGTATTGTCTTTATTTTCCAATACTTCTTAGGCATTTAGATTCCAATGGTGCATGAAAAGAGAAATGTGCTGTACTGCCATGAATTCCAAATTGGGAGAACAAAATAGCCATTCAAAAGTACAGTGTCAAATTTTTTATATCTTCAGTTTATCTACTGAGGTTAGAAATGGAAGGAAGTACAATTTGAATCCAAAATACCCAGAGCGTGAGTAAAATGAAGGACTCAGCTGTGATATTTATTTTGGAAATGTACCAGCAATAGTAATAAAAAGTGGTTTCTCTTACTTTACCAAGGAGGACAGCCATTTTGTGACGCCATCTGCCTTTATTTAGAGAAGCAACTCTGATCCAAATGTTTAACTGTGAATTATAAATCCAGACATCACGGCCATTGATTCTTCCACCTTTAAATGCAGAACAATACACACACAATAACATATGCAAATATCACCAAGTGATTTATGCCCAATGCATAGATAATAAAAACATAGATTTATCCATGAGAATTCAGTTCAATAAATGAAACAAAGACTCTCTTAAAGCTTAAAGGAAATAGTTCTACAGAACACATTTAAAGTTTGCCAATTGTTATCTTGAGAAGTAATAATTATAGGCCTCAAATAATGAAACGTAGACTATGAATTTTACATATGTATATAGATTGTTAATTTAGGAGCCAGTCATCAGAAGCGCCTGGACAACAGAATTATTTTTAAAATATTTTTTAAAAAATCACCCATTTTTAAAAAAGCATACCATCGTACAAAATAAAGTATGTGGTGTTATATTGTTCTATGTGTAGTAATAAAGTAATCTGCAAAGCTGGTATAGTTACTTAACCAATTAACAGACTTTAGACCATAGATACTGAAGTTATAACAAAAAGTTGTTCCTGGTTTTATTTGTTGTATAAACTGATCTGCCTAAAGTGGGCATAACTAATATTTCACTGTTTAATTTTGAGACACTGTTAAAACAGACAAGAATGTTCAAGTTAAAAGTAGCTACTATAGTAGTTCTTTATTTACCTGAAACAAGAATGTCATTCCTTAGAGCACAGACTGCATACTCTGATTTGGTAAATTCTGGAAGCTTAGCCAAAGACTTCCATTCTCCTGTCACAGGATCATAACACTCAGTGTATGGGAGATTAAATCCTCCAACTCGTTCACAGCCTCCAACGACAACTATCACCTCTGAATAGCCAGTTGACCTAAAATAGTTATTATAAAAATGATTAAATTATATATTAAAAGATATTCAGGATTGTTTAAGACCCTAAAAACAATAGTATTATCCTAAAGGAAGTGGAACAGTATTATAAACTGTTAAGTTTATTCTCTACGCATGTGCCAAATAATGCAGGCTACCATTACTACATTGAGAACATTTACAAGGGATTTAGGCCATTTTATTCTTTTTTTCCCCTTTAAAAAAATTTATTTATTTTTTCAAATACATTTGTTTCCACCTATCCCCCACAACTTTCCCCTGCCTCCCTCCCCTCTCTCCCTCCCTTAATCCTTCCCCACTTTGGGTTTGTCCATGAGTCCTTGCTATATGTTCCTTGACTTGCCCCTTCCCGTCCTAAGAACCTGCTAATATTAAGGATGATTTTCAAGTGAAATTTTGCAGCAATTCAGATACGTATAACCACACAAGATAACATGGTGCACTTTTTCTAAGTGTAGGAAAATGAAGCTTTTTTAAAAAAATCCGATTTCTAGTTCTAAAGAAACTATTTCATAGTATAATCTCCCTTCATAGGCGTACAGTTATGCACCATATAACATCATTGTTTTGGTAAACAACAGACTGCAGATAGAAGGGTGATCACATAAGATTATAATGGAGTTGAAAAATTCCTATCATCTAGTGACATCCCAGCCATCATAAAGTTGTAGTGCAATACATTCCTTATGTGTTTGTGGTGATGCTAGTGTAAGCAAACCTATTGGATTGCCAGGCGTATAAAAGTATAGCATGTAGAATTATGTACAGTACTTGATAATGATGATGAATGACCATGTTTATGTATTCAATATATTATACTTTTAATTATTTTAGAGTATACTCTTCCTACTCATAAAAAAATTTTTGCTGTAAAACAGTATGCTGTGTTACACCAGCAGCAGCCTCATACATTTTGTTTATTGTGTCCCTTGATTGCATCATTTCCTCATGTTTGATTTTATCTCATAATGTTTTGTACAGTAACATGCTGTAGAGACTTATAGCCTAGGAGCAATAGGTTGTGCCATACAGCGTAGGTGTGCAGTGGGCTATACTACACCTAGGTTTGTGTAGATGTTTGCACAACCATGAAATCACTTAAAGAAGCATTTCTCAGAATATATCCCTGCTGTTAAGCAATGCATGACTGTATATGCATCATATATAGAAATATGCAGAATATATGGAAATTACTTTTTAAGTAACTTTTTTAAAGTAAAGTAAATTTAGGTAATCCAACTCAAAATGTTGGGTAGTCACTAAAAATGTTAACAAAGTTTATAACAAAGAATGTTTTTAAAAAAAACGAGATAAAAGCTATACATAAGGCACAATTAATACTGTATTAAAAAGTTCTGGAAAGGATACACCAAAATGCTAATGATGGTTGTCTCTGGATTGTGTGGCCTCCCACTTGCTATCAACGTGAATCTTCAAAATGATAATGAGCTATTTTTTGAGTGGCAAAAACAACTTTTAAGAGCATTAAGAAAATCCCAAGATTTATGTTCAACACTGGCTTCTTCTATTTTGCACCTTAATTTAAGTTAAAGGTAGGATAAACTAAGCTTTTCCAAGTTTTTTTTGTTCATAAGGGTCAATATATGGTTTTGGGATTTTAAAGTTATTTGGCTTTTATATTTTTTCACAAATATAATCACAGTGTAAAAGTCTTGTAATTGCTTTATGGTTGCTATAATCTTAAGTCTTACAAAGAACAGTAGTAACAATCTCTCTTCATTTACTGAAATGTGGAGGAAAAAAAAGACCACATCGGAACACTGATATGTAGTTTTAGTCAGCGTGATGTTTCACAATTACATAGGAAAAAACAAAATTCAGCAATATAGGTATGTCCCTTTAACAGAGCTGTTATGTTCTAGTCAAGTAACCAAATCATTCATTTGTTCCATGCCAGGCATACTTTTTCAATTATAAAATCAGAAATATAATATTGTAGAGAAAAGAATTTCGTCCACAGATACAATAAAAATTACTTTCAGGAACACAGCAAATTATATAGCTCTAACCTAATATATAGTAAAACATTATTAGAAGGATCATATCAATAGTATCTATTTTCCAGATAATTCCAATGAAAAATAGAGAATAGCACCACTTAGTAGCATAACTACTGACTCATCTTTCTTTTCATAAAAGTATCATTTCCTATAATCATACTTAAAATATCTCTAAGAGAAATACATGTGATATTCTCTGAAGTCTTACTTATTGACTCACCAAAACAAAAATTGCAAAATGCTATCACAGGGGTTCAATCACTTTTAATTGTTTTAATGCAAAACCAAGTAATTATGCTATATATTTTATAATTTTGCTTTATGCTTTCCTTATAACATTTTACTACTTTCTTTTTGCTTAAATTTGCTTGCCTTTTTCAAGACTTCTTAGCCCAATAAACATATAGTCTTGTTTTTGAATCTTGGAACGAGAAACGAGCACAAAAAGCTAATGGCTAAAACATTTATTCCTACTAAACAAAGAATTGTTTCAGTGTCTACTGGAATTTGTATTTATCTGAAAAGATCAGCAAACTAGTAGTAGTTTTACCTGTACTGAAGGTCTTACTTACAGCCAAGTGGCTTTTAACTTAATTACAGACAAGTCTGGTCTTCTCATGAGAAAGTTAACCCAATAAGAGTTATACTTATTTCTTGATCTTGGAAAAATACTTAGGCTGAGCTGGTTGCCTTAAAGAAAGTAAGTTACTCCAGCTGATAATGGCAACTAGAACAAAAAAATAGTCAAAATGATAGTATAGGATTAATAAAATTCTGGATATTCATAAATCTATATTTAGAGTAAATGTTACTTTATTTTACTGATCCTTTAACGTTAAATTGATTTTCTGCTGTGATGAAATAACAAATGTTTGTTGCTTTATTTTTTTATAATGATATTTTTTAAAAAATCATCTTTTATTATAAATTTAAAAAAGGTCAAATTAAAAGATCACATTCTTTGATTTATGTGACAGGCTAAATAATTATAAATCCACAGGACATCCTAAACCAAAACAACAAAATGTGTATTAATTACCAGGTTCAGTTAGAAATCTCAAAAGGTGAAATAAAGGACTTACTGGCCAAAATAGCAAACCCACATATAGTTAATGCCAAATATACCAAAAACAGGTGAACTGCCAAACTTTCATCAACAAAAAGAGATTGGAAGGTGATCCTGGCTAATGGGAAGAATAACTGAGTATGTTAAAAAAACAACAACAACAAAACAATAGGAAAGGTAGTATGTTTCCATATAGTGGGAAGTTGGAAGGGTGAAGGGTATAATTAATACCACATACATTCGAAACAGGTGAACCATCAAACTTTCATCAACAAATAGGGATCAGAAGGTGATCCTGGCTAATGGGAAGAATAACTTAATATATATATATATTTTTTTAAATAGGAAAGGTAGTATGTTTCCATATAGTGGGAAGTTGGAAGGGTGAAGGGAGAGATGATAGTGACATAGTCTATCAAACGTTCCAAGACTCAAAAATATCTGAAAACCAGGCCATCAAACTGAAAAAGAGTCAGCTAGAGATGCAAGATTTCAAGCCCTAAAGAGACTGAATGGTTTCTAAGTGTGTAGGACATGACAGTTACTAAACACAAGGTATTAATCTAAAAAAACTGTCTATCAAAAGAGGGGATTGGCCAACCCTAGAAGTAATAAGGTAAATGAATGAATGCATAAAAGTAAGTAACAATCAAGAGGCAAACATTTCCTGTGCCCATTCAACTTATTAAGGCAGCAATTTTCAACCTTCTTCATATCTTGGCATGTATTAATTACTAAAATTCTGCAGCACACCAAAAAATCTATTTTTTGCTGATCTGACAGAAAAAAAAGTATAATTTTGATTCATTCATGTTGGATGCCTATTGTTGTGTTGGCTGTTGTCATTTTTTTGACAATCTAAGGGAGAAGAGGTCAGTGCCCCTAACTAAATAGGTATTGCATATTTTAAAAATTCTTGTGACACACCAGTTGAAATTGCTGGTCTAAGGGAAAGAGAATCTTAATCTTAGTTAAATCAAACATTACTGGTTCTTTGGTAAGAATACTTTTACTGTGGATGGGACTCCCTCAGGCTATCCTAGGCCAGATGATCCCAGTTCTAAAGGTCTCCCAGCTCCCTTTGTATTCCATGCTTGCCAAACAGCCTTTGAAAATATTGGCTTCCCATATAATGACTTGCCTATAGTAAGAGAACATTCTTAACAGATTGACTTAAAATATCTAGTCTGTTTGAGAGTTCCATTTTTTATTGCAAATAAATACAGGGTAGGGCAAAAGTAGATTTACAGTTGTTCACATTAGAAATAATACAATTAATAAATAATAATACAAGAATAAACTTTTGCACACTTACAAATGTAAACCTACTTTTGCCTTACCCTGTGTGTACAGGCTAGAAGATAAATGAGTTGTCTCTCACAGTAAATTTTAAATCTGCCCCTAGTAGTCTCATTTGTTCTTTAAAAAAATTTTTTTATTTATTTAATTTTTAGAGAGAGGGGAAGGGAAGGAGAAAGAGAGAGAAACATTGGTGTGTGGTTGCCTCTCATGGCCCCCGCTACTGGGGACCTGGCTTGCAACCCAGGCATGTGCCCTGACTGGGAATTGAACTGGTGACCCTTTGATTCGCAGGCCAGCACTCAATCCACTGAGCCACACCAGCCAGGGCTGATCTATTTTTAATGTATATTAAAAAAAAGAAAAGTTTGAGCCTAGAGGAATCACTAGATCGTGGTCAATTCATCAATATAAATGACTTCTTATAGGTTATGCCAGCCATAAACTGCATGCCTTTCTAAATTTGGTGAGGACACAGGGCTTTCGTTGGAAATTGGAAAAGAAATGGTTGTACTGATCAAATGATGCAAAATATTTACTTTAAAAAATCAGCATTTATCTAAGAATTTATCATGAGGAACTAATCACAGATGG